ATTGACCTTGGCTATGACTGCCTGACTCTGAATATACCCAAAGATGTTGAATTGTATACTTTAAATGGGTCAATTTAATGGCTCATTAATCATTTCAACAAAGCTGTTTGGGTGTGTAGTGGTCTTTAAAACCTCAGAACAGGTTCTCTGGAGTACTGGGAGTAGGGAACAGTAAAGGATTCGAGTTCTTCCAAAGGAGAGTGTGGGCATCTAGCATGCCCTGAGATGAGCCCTGTAAGAGCTGGGGGCTCAGAGGTAGCCCCAAAAGAAGGCAGCATATTGTGGCAACAGAAGATCAGAGAGGTGATGTCCCCCACATGCCAAGCTGCCCAAGGAAGGTCTCCCAGTAGCTCCCAGTGAAAGGAGAAATGGGGTATCCTGGACACAGGGTGGAAGCCCGAGGCAGCTGAGCCTCTCTAGAAAGCCTGCACAATTCATCTCACATCAAGAGGAAACGCAGTCTTGGCAAAACGTCCATTAATGGAGACAACAGGATTGGCTCTGCTGCTTTCATCGTATCTTCTCTGTACACATGTGCATTGCCTTGTTGTGTAAGAGCTAGTAACGCAGGGCTCTTATCTAGCTCTAAGTCTCCTCCTGTTCTAAGTGCCATTGAGTGGGCTCTGATGTTTTAAATGACAGAACAAAACCTGGCCCAGTTCGCACTACCCTCTCCGTCAGCACAATGCTTGAAGCCACTGTTAGAGCTATTGTGTCAATCCATCCTGTTGAGGGTCTTCCCGTTTTTTCTCACTTTTATCAAGTTTTATAAAGTTTCAGTTCCCTTCAGATGACTTAGACAAAGTAAGCAAATCAAAGTGTGGCCATCCTTGTCTGCAAGGTACATTCTGGTAACACGATAATAAAAGCAAGCTGGCACAGGGGCTCTGTGGCACTCTCCCTTCCAATGGAGCCCAGCTGGGGCACCCTTCTTCCACAGCGAGGCTCTAGGAACTGCTGGCCCTGCTGTCCAGGGCCGGGTAGGGTGGCTGATGTTAACAGCACCACCAAATTCTTCCAAGTGACTAGCAAGCTGACAGCTGAGTCACTAGGCCCCTCCTTTTCCTGGGATTCTCCAAGATGATAAATAGGAACTCTGGGTCCTGGGACCCGGCTGCTTCCAGTCCCCAGCACACTGGACACTAACAGGTGGTGGCCCAGAGGCCAAGGCTCACGGGCACCCTGAAATTAACCTCAAAGAAGGCAGCACCAGGGACCCTGACTTGGGGGACAGGTAGCCCTCAATGCCCTCGGGTTTGTCATAAATTAGGCCACCTTCACCTTTGACACTACAGCCACAGACATGCTGCTTCTCCCTCTGTGGAGCAGGGACAACTCTCCAGGCCTCAGGGAAGCGGGGGGTCATTAGGCACCCCATACCACCTGTGTGGCTCTCAGGCCCGGGGGCTGTCAAGAAAGACGTGCCCACCAGATGGGGATGGGCCCACTTCCAGCGCCCAGCACAGGGCCTGCCTGTGCCAAACAAGGGCAGATGAATGGCTGCAGAGGCATGGATGGACAGACAAGGGCCTCTGTCTCGCATACCATCCATCCTATGGCCTATTCTTGGGGGCTGGTAAGAACCCTGGGGCCTGAGATAGAACATGCTCAGTGGTCCCCCTATGGCAGTGACCAAAGCTCTCACATGGCCCCACAAAGGTTGGCCTTTTCTAGCCATTGAACTCTCCCCAGCTTCCTCCATTACCCCCGGAGGGTGGGGTGGACACAAGCTTTCCCTGGCCATCTGTGCTGAGTGAGGGACTATGAATTCAAAGAGCTCTAGGGGATCCAGCAAGTAGAATACATGGTGGGAGAGAAAGTGAACGCACACTTAGGGGGTAACCCAGAGATGGGGCTCACTCTAAGGCCTCCTGAGGTCACACACCCTGGACATGACACCAGAGCTGCACAAGGCGGCCACAGGAGAGCCTGCCTACAGTTAACTTCTCACATAGGAGACACCACCACCTTTTCTGAGTGGCCCAGCTCTGCCATGCAGGGACGCAGCTGTCAGGATGCCCGTGGGGCCTGTCAGAGCCCCTGTCAGAGCTGTGATGTGACACCACCCGCTCCCTCCTGGGCCTCACTAGCCACGTGTGTATCTGCTGAGAGTTCCGACAGAACTCGGGCAGAACAGAGGCAGAAGCCCACCGGGTCTCGGAATACTGACCAAGACAGGGCCCAAAACACTGTGAGAACGAGTGGGGAGTGCCACATGGTGACAGGCTGGCAGTGGGCGACCTCTGGCCGGCTCCCGAAGTATTAGCCAGAGTGGGGCTCACACAGAAGCAGGAGGGACGCCGGAGACCGGAGGGTCAGGACACCCGTGTCTAACCAGGGTTTGCATGCTGCTGCCAGGAGGGGGAGCTGGGAGGGAGGCCACTCTGGCCATCTACCAGCTGAGTCACCAGGCCAGGGGTTCCGAGGTGGCCACCAGGCTGGTGATAGTGTGTGGCTGGGGGTGGTGGGAGTGGACGGAGAACAGCAGGGAGCTTCCTTTTCTGCTCTTCCTGCTCAATCCTAGTTGAAGATTATTATTCCTGTTTTCCAGATGGGAAGACTGAGGCCTGGGAAGGTAAGCTACCTGTTCAGGACCAATTAGAAAGAGTCAAGGGCATGAGAAGACACCTGCTGCCTGCAGGAGCCCTGCAATCGGGCTATTCCCAGGAAAGTGAGGGGCCACAGGGGCCTGCTGACCCAGCCCCTCACCCTGCCTCACGTATTCCCAGGAGGGGTGAACCACCAGATGTGTCCCTGCTGTCAGACATTAGTGGTAGAGGATCCAGGGTAGGAAGAGGCTCCTCCACAGCTCACCCCACCCTAGCCTGAAGGGAGAAGGCTTCATTCCTTACAGGAGGCCACCTCCCACCCCCACCCCGACTCCTAAATAACCCAGAGTAAGAACAGAGAATTGATGCAGAAATGTCCACATCCTCTTTGAAGCTTAACTCCCCAGCAAATCAAGAAATCTGGAGGTCAGATTTTTCTCCCCAAGAGGAAGAGAGCAGATTAAGATAAAAAACAAAACAAACCACCAAAAGCTTAGATGGGTACAAAGCCACGCTGCCCTGACCCAGCGGGCTTGCAGGAAACCATACACTGGGCAGTTTGGGCCCCTCTGCCACCTGGGCGCCTCCCGGGCTTCCTGCCTGCGGCGGACGGCTTTAAGGACCTCGAAGGTTCAGCTGAATTTGATTTAATGGCTGAAACATCAGATTCCATTTAGGAGCAATCTCGGCTAAGTACGAGAGCTTTGGCTCGTGTAGAGCTTTCAGCATTCTGTCAGCAGCTGCCGGTTCATTGAGAAAATGAATTTTCAGTTCAGGCTGGCCTGCATGGGGCTCCCAGGCCCTGAGCACACAGTGGCACAAACGGAGAATGGGAGCCAGGGGCCGCCAGGGGCCAAGCAGCTAGGTGGGGGTGCAGAGGGTGGGGTCCAATGGCACGACCTCTGGTGCCACTTAGGGAGATAGACTCATCTGGGCCCCAGGACACCCACCAGCCTGAAGGCCCTTGTTTTGGAGAGTAGCCCCTTATTGGTCACACTGACCTGGCTTCTACGAGCCCCCAGGGACCCCTGACCTCACAGCCCTTAGAGTTAAGGACCTGCTGCCTCCACTCCCAGGTGTCAGGGGTTGTGAAGAGGGATATGTCGGGACAAGAGCAAGTGACAAGGCCGCTCAGCCCTTGGCCTTTTGTGGGACCTGACCAAGGTGGGGTGTGTGTGTCTAGAGCGTATCCTTTATCTGGTGCCTACCAACCTATCCCCCAGCTATCTTGGCCACGTAGCCCATCACCTGCTCACAGTCCTCACCCTGAGAAGCGGGCTGCACAGGTGAGATGCCACGTCAGCCTCAAGACTGGGCTCTGAACCTGTCAGCAGAGGGGCAGCACCACACGATACAAGCCCTTGGCCTCTCCTGTTTGCCTGTGTCCTCTCTCAGGCCCTAGCTTGCATCTCTCCCTGCCTCAATGTCACCTGCTCGCCTCACCCATGAGTGCTGTTTCTATGATGGGGAGCTAAGCAACCATGCAGCCAGCCTGGCTCTGAGACTGGAGGGAATAGCGACCCTCAATCCAGACACCCACTCCATGTAAAAGGGATTCTCTCCCTTTGCAGAAGGTGGGGACGACGCGTCCCGAGCCCCCACACACTGGCAGGCACACCGCCCTAGGACAGGCTGTGCTATTTGGCTCTAGAGCCTGGCACCAGTGCCACCATGCTGACAGCAGAAACATCCACCCTGAAGCAGTGGGAACTACCTGGGGTTCAGGCTCAGCTGCTAAGCCTCTGATTTAACTGGTCTGGGGTGTGAGACCTGGGCTGTAGGATTTTTACAAAACCCCCATGTGGTTCTAACGTACACAGGTCTGCAAATCACTGCACTGGAGTACAAAGAAGATTAAGGAAACTCAGCTGCTATTAGAAAAGTTAGCAATATAGTTGGTATACCAATAACGGAAGTTACCAATACAATACCAGTTCAAGTCCCCGAGGCAAATCTCAGAAGCAAGGTTGGGTAACGTAACTCTGAAAAGTCAGCCACTGAAACCCTAGAGAGAACACAGTTGTCTGACCCAGATGGTGTTGTCACAAGTCAGCGTGGCTTGAAGAACTTTTCTGTAAAGTAACAGCTACCGAGGGTTTGCAGATGCAGTAAATCACACAGGAGCTTACTCATCTGTCACCGGGAGCAGCTGTCAGATTGGAACTCTGAGGCCTCTGGGCTGGCAGCATTATTCCCTACCAGCAGACTACCAGAGCTCCCTGGTTTAGCTCTAGTGTAGGAACACTGTCACCATTTCATAGAAGGGAACATAACGTGCTCAAGGTCACCTCCAGGGAAGAGGCAGGACCAGGACTAGGCTTCAAAGCTGAGAGGAGACACAAGGACACACCAGGCCCTGCTTTCCTGGGCAGCCATCTCTGTAAAACATGCAACTGCCACATAGAGTGAGAAAGAGCAGACGCTGCCCCCACCGTCCTCAGCAGCCCGGGGCCTTACCTGCTGACTCCGTAGGTGCTCCTCAGGCGGGCAGGTGCTTCCAGGTGCTGACAAAGGCTGTGGGGATGAGCGAGTAGGGCACGGTGGTGATGCAGTTCCACGTGTCTGAAGTGGGGTCATAGCAGTCCAGCGTCTTACACCGCTGGGTGCCAAAGTAGCCCCCCACCACATAGAGCTTGTTGCCCGAGGCCAGGGCGTGGCAGGACATGCGCTTGGCGGTCATGTCCCCGATTCGCGTCCACTGGGTTGTCTCGCAGTCGAAGCGGTAGGCCGAGGCGGCCGTGAACTCGGTGTCACCCCCCATGATGAAGATCTGGCTGCCCAGGACCGCGGCGGCCGTGTAGCGCCAGGGCTGGGGGCACTCGGCCTTGATGCTCCACCGGTTCTCCGAGGGCTCGTAGCACTGCACCTTGGACACCATGTCGCGGTGGATGCTGGTGCCCCCGAACACGAACAGCTTGAGTTTGGCGCTGACCACGGCTGCGTTGCTGACGCCGTCCCGCAGCGGGGCCACCATCGTCCACTTGTTGGCCGCGGGGTCGTACTTCTCCACCTGCTTCAGGGACACTGACGGGGAGGCCGGGAAGACCCCTGCCAGGGACGTGTGCCCACCGACCACGTAGAGGCAGTTCTCCAGTTCGGCCGAGCCGTGGCCAAAGCGCGCGATAAGCATGGGCGCCGCCTTGGCCCATTCTTCGTGCACCGTGTCGTACACCCACACGTCCTTGGAGACCCCGTTCTCTGAGCCCCGGCCACCCGTCACGTACACCTTGCAGCCGATGGCCGAGGCGCTGAACTCCTTGCGCGGGCTGGGCAGGTCCGCCTTGGGGATGATCTCCTTGGCCTTGTGGTCCACCTGGTAGATCTTGTCGCACATGAAGGTCTGGCCGCCCAGGATTAGCAGCGTGTGGCCCGCCTTGCGCGGGCGTGCGCAGGGGCTGGTGACCACGCCGTCGTTCTGCAGGATCTTGGTCTTGCAGCCCAGGGCCTCGTCCAGGATGAGCCGGGCGCGCTCGTCCTCCAGGATCAGGTCCTCGCCCGACAGCGCCTCCTGGAGGCAGTCGGTGGGCAGCAGCGCCAGGCGCACGCTGCGCAGCAGCTCGGGCAGGTGGGCCTTGCGCTGCTCCAGGTCGTGCCTGACCCACTGCAGCACCGCCTCGAAGACCACCCGCTCGTCCTCTGTCTCCAGCTCATCGCTGGATGTGAGGTCCAGCAGGGTGTCCTTGGACAAGCTGTTGAAGTCCTCGCTCTGACGCACGGTCTCAAAGTGCACGAGGCACATGCGCCAGGAGAACTCATACAGCCGGCGGCACTGGTGGGCGTCCGACAGCAGCATGGTGCCCAGGCAGTTGGAGGGCAGCAGGTTCTTCTCCAGGAACTCAGCGGCCGCGTCGCGCACATCGTGGAACTGCAGCATGTCGCCCGCCTCCAGCAGGGACTCGGCATTCTCCTCGGTGATGGCGATGCGCGACGAGTAGGCGAAGTCCAGCAGCAGCTCCAGCACCTCGGGGTGCAGGTTGTCCTGGAAGTTGACCGTGTCGTCGCGGCTCTCGCGCAGGCCGTGGCTGAACATGGCCTCGAAGTAGCGGCTGGAGGCGGCCAGCACAGCGCGGTGGCACGGGAAGGCGCGGTCGCCGGCCCACAGGGTGACGTCGGTGAACATGCGGTGCTTGCGCAGTGTGTTGAGGTGCGCCAGCACGCAGTCGGGGTGCGAGGCTTTGTGGAAGAGCGTTATGTTCATGGAGCCCGTGCTGCCCCGCGACTTGCGGGTCTCGTGGACGCTGACCGACATCTTGCGCTAATCTGCCGGGGAAGCAAAGCTCAGGGTGAGAGAAGCCACTCGAGTGGGCGGGCCTGGGGCTGCCCACCTTCCCCTAGGCCAGGCTGCCCGCCCCCTGCACCCCTCTTTGTTGCTCAGTTCTCCACCTCCGTCTCCACGCTCCCTCGACCCCCTCAAGGGCATTTCAGAATGCTGGTTAATCTCACTGGTGGGTCATGCACCAGCTCTGCCGTCGTAAGTGTAGATCCGCCCTGGGCCCAGGCATCTCTGGGTGACCCTCCCTGAGTCGAGCGTTACACTAGACTGACTTGCAGTTAGGAGATAAAGCAAACGGCAGAGGAGTTCTTGGTGGTATTTCTGTGGCTAATCCATTTTGTAGCCACGAAGCCTGGGCTCCAACGCAAAGCAGCCACCTAGACGCAGGAGCCAGGAGTCATGGTCCCTGTTCACTCTGAAGCCCAGCCCTGACCTGACTTGACCCGACCCCAGCTGGCCTGTGGAGACTTTGGAGGGGAAGCTGATGAGGAGTAGGGTCTGACACATCCCTCTGCCCTCTGTGGGCCTGTCTTGAGCCTGGATCCACGGAGAAGGGCTGTGTCCTCTGAATCCAGCTGGGATGAGTGTGGACTGGGGGCAAGGCACAGTCCACATGGTACCTGCGCCATTCCAAGTTCCTAACAGGAAGTCAAGACAAAGGCCCAGGAGTCAAAGCCAGAAGCAGCAAGACCATAAAGACTGGCTTCAAGTGTGGAGCCTCCGTGGCCAGGCAGGTCCTTCAAGCTCCCTGTCTGCCCTGCAGGTGGGTGATCAGAGCAGCTGCTCCAGCAGACAGACACAGGTCCATCCTACCTTCAAAGTGGCTGACTTGCAGTCCTTTTTATTAAAGTCTATTCCTCAAGGGACCAGATGCCTTGTTCTCCCTATCATGGAAATAAGGCTTTGCCAACAGGCCAGCAAAACCAAGACAAAGCACACTGCACTCAGCAACAGAACCCTCAGAGCCTGTGCTGTCTTCTTGCTAGTCAAGAGACTATAGAAATTTTTCACCTTTAATTTTTAAAACGATGTAACTCCCCTTCCCAGACACAATTTTCTACTTAAATCATCTGGTAGGAAATCTGGTGGCCTAGTGTGTAAGGAGTTGTGCTGCCAACCCAAAGGCAAGGGGTTCGAATCCACCAGCAGCTCTATGGAAGAAGATGGGCAATCTCCTCCCACACACTTTACAGCCTCCAAAAACCGGCTGGAGGGTCAGCTAGGATTCGGCTCTGGTTTTGTGTTCCAGTCATCTGCCAAAATAAGGAAGTGATGTTATGCTTCAGTGAGACTCTGAATTCAGCCCAACTGCACTGCTCTCTCACTCTTCTCCAGGCGGGGAACTAAAGAAGCCGTAAACTAATGTAAATGATTCCACCTCAGAAACAATGCCCCAGCTACTGGGTACTGGGCTCCCGGCGGGGAAGTCACAGGGAGGTGGTGGGTAGCCTGGCTTGGCTGCTGTTAACCCTAAGACCAGGGGGTGGAGTGGGGGTCAGGACCTGCTTTCTGGACAGCAGGACCTGCTCCTGTACACAAGACCCCTGGCTGAGGTAAGGTCACTACATGGGTTACTGGGTGTGTGTGTGTGAAGTTCCCAGGAGTCATGCCAGTGGGAGGGCTGCCTGGTACAAGATGAAGACAGGTCCTGGTCAGCCCTCTGGCCTTGGGTGCACTCCCCTGCTCTCTGTACGTCACTTTTCTCTTCTACTATTGCTCAGATCTCTGTGATACTTCACTCACTGGGAAATCATTGGCCAAGTGCCTCCACCAAGAGTATGGGCAGGAAGGGCGGGAGGCTGCAGACAACCCCAACCGTGACCACTATTACCCAATCTGGTTTCAGACCCTGCCGCCTGTTTCCTCAAGTCTTTGTGTGATTACAAAACCTCATTTTAGCTCCTTCCACACCCTAGATTGTCCTGCACTTTCCCAAACGTGGCTGCTCACCAGGTAACCCAGTCTCGCCCTGCCCGCCTCCGCTATGCCAGGCCCTGGGTCTGAGGTGCTGCTGCCTGTGCTGCCGGCTCTGTGGGGCAGTGGCATGTGGGGGCCGTGGGGCACTGGGGCCCAGTCACTGCTCTCTTGGGGCTTCTCCTCCACCTGATGCTCAGGCCAGCTTCAGTTCTCATCTTGGAGCCCTCAGTTCCAGAGGTCATTTCTACTCTGGGTGCCTGAGCACTTCCCACATGCCCTCACACCACCCTACCCAGCCAGGGAGTCAAGCCATCCTTGGATGCCTGGAGCTGAGATACGCCAGCTGTCCCCCAACTCCCCTGGGATTCCTTTTACAGAGAGCAAGCCACCGTAGGCTGGCATCTCAGTTCTTCACCTTGTTATCTGTGGCCTGGTGACCAGGCCCTGCTCTCAGGAGAGGGACTCATGGGTCCCACACTACTGGTCACATGAGAACAAACATTCTAGGCTGTTAAGAAGAGGCTTCTGGGTTTTCTGGATGGGGCATGGCTCTTGAGTGGCACTCCTCCCTCTCTCTGGCCCTTTCAAGTATCCTGATGTATGCTTGAAACCAGCTGGCACTGGAAGCTGAGGGGTGAGGACTGAGCCTGGCTGCTGCCCCAGAGGGCTTTTTTAGCAGGTTGTCCACAAGGATACCGACCTGGAGACTTCCTTCCAAGGGCTCCTGGAGTGGTGGTTAAGTATACAGCTGCTAATGGAGAGGTTGGAAGTTCAAAGCCACCAAAAGGTAATTCTGAAGAAAGGCCTGACATTCTACCTCCAAAAATTCAAGCCACTAAAAACTCACTGAAGCACAGCACAGTAGGACTGCAACACCCATGGGGCTGTCACAAGCCAGCATCAACTGGATGCTAACTGGTACATGTGGGACAAGGTGAGATGTGATGACTGAGAGTGTCACAGGGCAGACCAAGTCCCTGTAGATCAGCCATGCTTTTCGTGGGAACAAGGGAAGCAGTGGCCTGTCCACGGCCAAGCCTGGGCGGGCAGCCCCATGGCCCTAGGTAACCCAGTGACTGGGTTGGCTCGCTCCAGGGCCAAGAATTCCCACCCCTTCACACCAACTTCCACACAGCCTCTGACACTCCATATGCACCCCAAGCAGGTTCCCCCCTGCCCCATATCGCTGGGCTTGGGGTGGGAGAGAACAGTCTACTTTCCTCATGGCTGCTGTGCCTGTGGCAATCAGCCCCTAGACTTCCCTTTTCTGCATCAATTCCTTCTGTTGGTAGGAGGGCTGCTTGCACTGGCGAACACAATAAGGGCTTTTGGCTGTGTTTGCTACTCCACCCCGGCCACCTCCTTCCACAGAGTCCACTTCAGACACAGCCAACAGATTTCTGAAAAGTCATTAACTGAGTAGTGTCCCCAGTAAAGTATGCGTTAGACTCAACTCTGTCATGCATGTAACCCTGTTACAGAATTTCTGGCAGTTACAAAAAGCTGAAATAGACAAGGATAGACGTCTACCTACAGCACACCCTGAACTTGGACTTGCAGCCTTTTAACTGCGAGAAGGTCCCTGAACAATGCTCACAGTTTGTTCTCAGATGAGGTTAGTGGTTCTAAGTCACCGAGCAGTGTGCACTGAAGACAGCCAAGTGCTTTATTCTGCAGAGACCCAAATTCACTCACTGCTGTGCAGTCGGAACTGTCTCTGAGCCAACCCTCCAGCAGGTTTTCCACAGTTTGTAAAACAGCACACGGTGAGACTACTCCTCTTCTTCCCTAAGCGCTGCCAGTGGATTTGAACTGCCAGAGACTCAGTCTTCGGGCCGGCAGTGCAACTCCCTATGGACTACTCCCTATGGAGCAGAGCTCCATTCTGTAAGGATTGTTGTTGCTATGTGCCCTTAAATCAGAACTATCCATAGCTGATCCTCCAGTGGGTTTTCAGAAGCAGTAAATTGCATGGAATGAATGTGAAAACTATTAAACAATATCACTGATATCACATGCTAGCAAAAAACTGCTGACGATCATTTAAAAATGGCTGGAACGGTACATAGATAGGGAATTACCAGAAGTTCAAGCGGGATTTAGAAGAGGTCGTGGCACCAGGGATATCACTGCTGATGTCAGATGGATCCTGGCTTAAAGTAAAGAATACCAGATGAAAGACCATTTGTGCTTTATTGACTATGTAAAGGCATTTGATTGTGTAGATCATGATAAGTTGTGGCTGACATTGAGGAGAATGGGAATCCCAGAGCACTTGATTGTGCTCATGAGGAACCTGGACCAGGAGCTGTTAGGTTAACAGAGCAGGGGAGCACTGCATGGTTTAAAACTGAGAAGGAAGTCAGGGTTGTATATTCTCTCTATACCTATTTAATCTGTATGCTGAGCAAATTATCCAAGAAGCTGGACTCGATGAAGAGGAGTGTGAAATCAGGATTGGAGGGAGACTCATCAATAACCTGAGTTATGCAGATGACACAACCTTGCTTTCTGAAAGTGAGGAGGACTGGAAGCACTTGTTACAGAAGATCAAGGAGTGTAGCCATTTCAATGCCAAGAAAACAAAAAATTTTTACCACTGGACCAAATAGGCAACAACCTGATGGATGGAGAGGAGACTGAAACTGTCAACAGTTTCATCTTGCTTGGAACCATAATTGGTACCAGCAATTAGAAAACAAGGTGACAAACTGCACTGAGAAAATCTGCAGTTAGGGATCTCTCCAAATTATTTAAGAGTGATGTCAATTTGAAGACTAAGCTGTGTCTAATTCAGGCCATAGTTTTTGTGATCACTTGCTATGCATGAGAACTGGACAATGAATAAAGATGACAGAAGAATTGACCTCTTTGAGCCGTGGTGCTGGAGAAGAGCACTGAACAAACCATGGATGGTCAAGAGAACAAACAGATATGTCTTGGAGAGGATGCTGCCAAGTGCCATTTGGATGTAAGAATGGTAAGACTTCACCTTACATACTTTGGGTATGTTGCTAAGAGGGACTATTCCTTGGAGAGGGACATGATTCTGGGAAGGG